TTGATCTTCATCTTCTGAGGATACAGAAAATATATAAGCTTCATGAGTGTTAGATATTCCTGCTCATATAATTCAAAGTCTTCTGCAGTAGTACAGGTTGGTTTCTTTTCTTTAGGCTTTTCTTGCTCATAAGAAGTATCAAAAACAATCTTCTTTCCTTTTCAATAGAGAGTATATTAGCATGTTTTTTAATTATAATTGGCTTCTACTTTCTTTGACCAATCATTTCTAAGTAAAATAGAATAAGAGGTGGTAGGTATAACTTCTATATCCAAGGAGATAAGTTGATCTTAAATCCTAATAGGCAAATTTCTAATAATTCCAAGGGGTCTGAAGGTAGTACTAGTAGTAGCAACAATAAGGCTTTTGAATGGTTCTTCAATTTTAAGGTCTAATTCTTTTATGGTTTGGTACGAAATCATACTGACAGAGGCTTCACTATCAATAATAGCAGGGTAGATGTGGTCTTGAATATTAATATAGCATTTAACAAGATAATGGTGCTAATGGGTTGAGATTTGGTATTTTCTCTATTGGCTTCAGTGATATAAGTGGTTAGAGCAGTTCTAATTATAGGTACAGAAATATGGTAGTTCTGTGACTGATCGTAACATCAATTGGATGTAACTCAATAATAAAATGATATATCAAAAAGTTGTAATTAATATTTGCTATAACACTTGACATATATCTTGATATTTGATGTATGCCGTAATATTTGACATGAATCATAATATTTGATGTGTGCCGCAATATTGATGTATGCCACAATTGTACTATAAATACTTTTCATAAAGATGTGAAAATAATGAAGTTTTGTAGCCTGTCTCATTTGGAACTTATTATAACATATGCTGATATTTGACTTTTATGAAGTAATTTAGTTTTATGCTTGTGTAAACAATTGTATAAAATTTATTATTTTGCATTGAATTAACATCATATTAATGTTTTCTTTAAGTATTTTCACAATGTTTTATGCGAATATATAATAACAGCATAGTTTAGAGAAAAGCATATTATTGGGAGGTTTTTTTAATTGTTTTTTATCTTTGCTATTTCATTTGCATTCTACAGGTTTATTCGAATTTACTATTTTTTTTAAATTGATAAATCCATATTATGTATTGGTACTTCTGGAGTATATAGAAAATTGAGATACCATTGTCATTTTACTAAATAAACTTTTAAAATATTAAAAAGTTACTTAAATCAGTATTCAAAACCGAGTCAACAAAACTTTCTGAATCAAAATCTATATTAATGCTACTGCTGCTTTTAATGCTATGATCAGAATTATTAGTTGGATCTTCACGTAGTTCAATATCTCTTTCTTGAAATATCAGGTCTCTTAAATTTACCATGTCTTCTAAAACCAAATCAGTTCGAGACAATAAATTTTGACTATTAAGAGGTTTTAAAATAAACAAATAAATGATATTTCGAAAATAAATAGGATTTTTTAATAGCATTTTTACTATATTGAATTATAAATCAGAAAATAAAATACGATTCTCTGATTTTAATTTTGAAACCATCTATTATTATTTTTATATTCTTTATTTTTTTCTTTACCTGCAATAAAATTATTAATTGAAGTAAGATTTACAATCACATGCAGATTAGATTCAGTTAATTCGGTTTCAAAATGATTAGGCTCATTTCATATATTTGTTAAGTAGTACAATCTGATTTTTGTTATCCCTTCAAGCTTTTTAATATCAAGACAAGTATGTTTGTCTCCAATAAACCATTTTAAAACCAAAAAATTTCTTCACAATTAGCCTGAGATGGCAAAACACTAAACAATCTTTGTGAAAGTTCTGAAAGACAATGTGGGTGGTTTTTAAATATTCTCCACCATAACATTGGAGTATCAAGACCTTGAACGTAAAGAAGATCATAAGGTTTTTTTAGCATCATAATAATGAAATAATAAGATTAACTCTTCACATTCTCGTTCTGAGTGCCCTAAATTCTTCTATATAGTTAAAGTGGTTATAGCAGCATCACAAAATATTTTATTTTTAAGACCAATTTCTAAAAAATATATATATTAATATTAAGTATAATAAAATATATATATTATTATACTGTATATAAATATTTATATAGTATATACAGTGGGGTACCATATTATTATAGACACTTTTTAAAAATTTATATTGAGTTAAATAAGCAAGATATCAAGTCCAA